CTTTTTTAACGGCCACTCCCCCAACGTCATGCATATTCGCAGGCAGCTCTTTTCAACTCGCTGATCTGGAGACCCTTGACCGACCTTCACGCGCGTCCAACTAATCACGTCTGTTTGACGGCCACTTGAACATGCCACCCCTCGACCAACGCAGCAAGGGCCTCTGTACGCGACACCACCTCGGTAAATGCAAAACATTAAAAGCCCACCACTTGAACTCGCTCCACAATCATATAAACGCAACTGTCATATGTCTCTCATACACATACTCTCAGGCGTGACTGGATGCAGTCAATATCAGCTGTCTTCACCAGCGACCACTGTTGCCTGGGACAGAAATGCAGGGTTCTGCACGCAATAAATCCCCCGCTCTAGTGACTCTTACCTTTTGCCTACCATTTGGGATTCGATCTGATGATTTTAGTGTTCTGAACACAACCACTGCTTAGCCACTACAAATCCGGCCTAAAGAGGTCTTGCCTGCGAACCTCGCACCCTTTGAAACCGTCTGGCGAATGCCAAAGCCGATGTCCATGGCTTATGCCACCGTGGTTCCCCAAATTAGTCTTAACTTCCTTCTCTGACTGAACGCATCACCAATCACCAGAATGCTGACATAAGTCTGTTGGACTCCAGACGACTAGTCGTTATTTAGTTTCAGGATTGCGTTTGTGATTTATTCCTTGGAGAGCAGTTCAAAAGAGTGGATGAGGATGAAACTTCACCCCAAGAGGGGAGAGAAGTGGCCAGTGATTGAGGTGCTTACGCGAGTGCTCGGCCTTGGCTAAATTACCTGTAGTAGTCTCCATTAATGTCGTTAAAGGAGGCACTCAGCGCCCGGTGACTTAGATTAACTGCATAATTTGGGTTCGAAATTCTGCTTACCGCTAACGGTGGGGGCCTGCTTAACGGAGGTTTTGAATTCGGCCCTGGCCGGGGGCAAGTTTTCTCAGGGAGTCGGCTAGTGTAGACGCACGGACAGTACTACATACGTTAGCCGGCCAATGACTAGCTGACACGCAAATGACCCACTGTTAGCCTGTCGAGAAGGCGACCGTCAAGCCAAATTTGAGGAGTATTA